GAGAGAGAGAGAGAGAGAGAGAGAGAGAGAGGGAGGGAGATATGGAAACATTAATAAAGAGAGAGAATCATTGATTGGAAGCCTCCTGCACGGCCCCACACTAGGGATCGAGCCCGCAACCTGGGCATGTGACCAGGAATCAAACCCATGACCTCCTGGTTCACAGGTCAAAGCTCAACCACTGAGCCAAGCCAGCCAGACTTAAGTGTTCCTTTGAAAGTGTTGAAATTATATGCAGTATTGATTTTTTCTATATTTTCCAAACTGCCTACAAGAAATATAAACCACGTTCATTATTTAGAAAACATAACTAAATGTTAAAATAAAAAAAAATAATTGTTCAGCCCAGCTGGTATGGCCCTGTGGTTGAGCATCCACTTATGAACCAGGAGGTGACCATTTAATTCCTAGTCAGGGCACATACCTGGGTTTCAGGCTTGATCCCCAGTAGGGCGTGCAGGAGGCAGCCAATCAATGATTCTTTCTCATCATTGATGTTTCTATCTCTCCCTCTCCCTTCCTCTCTGAAACCTATAAAAATAATTTTTTAAAAAAGTTTGGTTTTGCTTTCATATCCAGATGATAATTCTAATTTGTTCTTGGTTTGGGGAAAGGCAGCCTTTACTAAAGAATTAGAGCTATTTTTTTTTTTTTTTTTTTTTTTTTTTTTTTTTTTTTTTTTTATAGAGGGGGGGGGGGGAAATATGTAAAAAAAGAAAGGAAACATCGATGAGAGAGAAACTTCGATCAGCTGCCTCCTGCACATCCCCTACTGGGGATGTGTCCACAACCCAGGTACATGCCCTTGACCGGAATCGAACGTGGGACCTTTCAGTCCGCAGGCCGACGCTCTATCCACTGAGCAAAACCGGTTCCGGCTAGATCTTTTTTTTTATCCAGTGAAAAGAGAATCTGGATTAGGTGAGGCAGCTGATGGGACCATTATGCTAGTGTTCAGTGATTCTTGGACAGCTGTCCTCACTCTCCTGCAGCCGCTCCCCAAAGGCCCCCCAAAAAAAAGGAAAAGGAAAAAACCTGAAGGAAAAATATAACAAGTTTCAGCTCCTCTAGTAATTGTAGGGCCTTGGACAAATTAAGGAAATCTTCCCTAGTCTTTTCTGGGTACAGTTTGTCATTAGTATCATCTCTAAGCAACAATGAAACATGGAACAAATTGTCCATGAAAATCAGAAAGTGCCAAGTTTCTAGCTAGAAGAGGTCTTACAAAATAATTAACTGAACCCAATGGCCTCTGCTACATCCTCCAAACCAAGAATCACTGTCCCAGAATGCCACGTGTTATCCCCACTAAAACCATCTTCTGTATCCGGGTTGATTGATGGGAATTGTTCCTCACTTTCAATAAAAGGGTTTTTCCTTCTAAGAGTATGCCCCCTGGGTACCTGGACTCTCCCGAGGTTTGGGTTCCATTGTGGCTGGCTGTTCTCACCTGTCAAAAAGAAGAATTAAGAGCTGTTAGTCCCCAAACAACAGGATGCTTCATGGATTAGCCACTTGATCATCAAGTACCAGGATGGTGCCCATGCGTGTGGATGAGATGGGTTATCTGGCGCCTCCCCCACCTGGCTGATGGTAGCCACGGCAATAGGACCTTTCCAAGCAGCGCTCACCAAATGTCAGTTCTGTGGAGATGACTGAAGAAGCTGTCTTCCCTGGACGTTGCTCCTGCTGACAAGAGAATTCCACCCTAGCTGGTTTGGCTCAGTGGATAGAGCGTCGGCCTGTAGACTGAAGGGTCCCAGGTTCGATTCCAGTTAAGGGCACATGCCCAGGTTGCAGGCTTGATCCCCAGTAAGGAGTGTGCAGGAGGCAGCCGATCAATGATTCTCTCTCATCATCGATGTTTCCATCTCTCTCTCCCTCTCCCTTCCTCTCTGAAATCAATAAAAAATGGCCTATCTAATAAAATGGTAATATGCAAATTAACCATCACTCCATCACAAAGATGGCAGTGCCCATAGCCACAAGATGGCAGCGCCCAGTCCTCTCAGCCCTGCCAGAGTCCCCCAGTCCTGTGGGGGGGGGAGCTGCTGAGAGTGGGCAGCGTGAGTGGCCTGGCAGAATGCTTGCTTCGTCACTGCAGTGATGAGGCAAGCATTCCATCGCAGCTGCAAAGGGCCTCTGGGCAGCAGGCACAGAGTGGCAGGGGTGGGGAGGTTGGGGGTGGGGGGGAAAAGAATGCTTGCGTCGTCACCCTGGCGACAAGGCAAGTGTTCCGCGCCCAGCCGCGATGGGCCTCTGGGCAGCGGGCGTGGAGCAGCCAGGCCCCACAGAGAGCTACTGGCGCACAGATTCGTGCGCAAGGCTATTAGTTTATACATAAAAAAAAAAGAGTGTCCCTTGGGGGAAGCAACACCAAGAAGGACAGGGCAAGGGCAGGGTGCTATGGATCAAATCTCGCTGAGAAAGCATTTCTGGCTGAAAGGAAGCCCATGATGAGCCCTTCTCCACACCAGGAACTCACTTTCCCCAGAGGGAACCTACAAGCGAGGACCACGGCATGCTGAAGTTGCCCCAGCCCCCTGTGTGGCCCGTTCCCAAGGCTGCCTGGCTCTGGGGACTGAGGCTGACACGGTGATACTGACCCGGAGAGGAGACTCTTTCCTGGACACTCTGCCAGCAAGCCCATGACCATTGGGGGACCTGAGAGAAGGGGAATCCCACAGGGTAGAGGGCCTCGGGGCAGGTGAGGTTCCTTAGAACAGGAAATCATGGATGGCCAGTTTTTTACATTGAATTAATGAATCACACCCTAGAAGGAAGCACGGAACAGGGCAGTGTCAGGACAGTTCCAGAAAAATGGAAAGAGGCCAAGGGACTTTTGCTGTCCTTGGGCATGGTGTCATTCCTCCCTCTCCTTCCTCATTTCTCTTTTTCTTAGGCATGAACTCATTCTTTCCTCCTAAGGCATAAATGACTGACAGTCTTTCTTTTTCTAATCCTCACCCAAGGATATTTTTTTTTGAGAGAGAGAGAGTGAAAGGGAAAGAGGAGGAGAGAGAAACATCGGTGTGAGAGAGAGACATTGACTGGTTACCTTCTGCACAAGCCCTGACTGGGGCCAGAAAGCAAACCTGCAACCGAGATATGTGCCCTTGGCTGCAAATCAAACCTGGACCCTTTGGTCCGTGAGCCAATGCTCTAACCACTGAACAACCCGAACAGGGCAGAGATGACAGTCTTAAGGTTAAGACCACAAGTTCTCAAAGTCTACTTGAGCTGACTTGTCAGAAACATGAGAGAGCTATTTGGAGACCAGTGGGTTTTTCTGGATGCTGAGCTCACAGCTTCCAGGACCAGAGAAAAGTTTTTCCTCTGTGGAGGGATCCCTATATACTAACAATAATGATTACGTGAACAAATAAACACACAGCAAGTGAAATAACCACTAAGACCTTTCTGGTGTCTTAAGGCATCTCTCGAAGAATTGTTGCCCGTGGCCCCAGCTGGTGTAAGGGTGCACTTAGCTTTGTGCAATGAGCTGGAATGCCTGAGGCCCCTGAGGCCAAACCCTCCATTCCCTGGAAGAGCAATTCTGTATGAGGAAGAGCAATATAACATACCTACGTTTTGTCCAACTCCCCCAAAACATGGACATTTAAAAAATTTACCCCTGAGATTTTGCAACTAACCCATTAGGTTCTTTCCAATTTTAGGGATTTCACTGCCTAAGCAGAAGTGGGACCAGTGGTTTTCAGCCCCTCACCCTTCCTTCCATCCATCTACGTGGAACTTGGCCAACCCTCCCACTGGGCATTTAGCCTAGTGAGTGTTAGAGTTTAAAGATCAGATGGCAGGACTGTGCAGGAGCAATTAGCTGAGAGCGAGATATTTTCAAGCAGTGTGTTTACAGCAAGCTCTTGGCTTAAAAAGCCAATAATCTTTTATTTTCTTGATCAAACAATGATTCATAGAGCCTTTATGGATTATAAATGTTGCATACACTGTTGCTTTGGTGTCTCGGAACTCGTCCTAGAAGGTAGCTCCTTTTACAAATGAAGACCTGCATTTGATAGAAGAGCCAGGTCGTAGGCTCCCAGCAGAGCCTACACTGCACCACACCGATGCTCACTCACAGACACTCCTGACAACATTCCACTCCCTGCACACTATGGATGCAAGAGAGCTCGGAAGGACATTTCCAGTCTTCATGCCTGTGGAAGGCTCCACAGTCAAGCGTAGGGGCCTCTCCTCCCTCTTTTCTCCACCCACCATAAAAGAAGATGGCAGATGAGGCAGTAGGGTGTGGCGGGTTAGAGTGCTAACTCTAGAACCTGGATTTAAATACATCTCCATCTGTGATGAGAGATGTGATCTTGGGCACATTATACCACCTCTCCATACCCCCATTTCTTCATCTATAAAATGAAAATGAAATATTACCACCCTCATAGGATTGCTGTCAGCATCGCTTGAGATAAGCTAGCGAAGAGCATTCAGTATCGAATAGGTGCTCAATAAATGCTACTTGTTAAGTCCTTTGTAGCTCAGATATTCCATAATTCCATGACTGTTTAATAATGACTAGCATTTATTGAGTACTAATTACATTCCAGGCATCTAAGGGAAATTTGTATAATGGATTTCATACATATGTCTATAATGGATTTCATATGTATACATAAATTAGATTTTCTATATATAATATAGAATTTATAGAGATAATATGAAATATCTATACTAATAATAGCCTAGGGTCGTCACGACCAGACGGGTTGACCGAACACCAGGAAGTGCATGGAGCACCTCTAGGTCCCTCCCCCCACCCTCCAGGCTCCCATTGCTGGATGGCCAATGGGGAACCAAGGGCAACCAGGCAGGGTGATAGCAGAGCGGGACTGGGGACTGGCGAGCGGGCAAAGGCAGATCTCCTGGTCCCTCCCCCCAGCTGGCAGGCTCCAGTCGATCCTGTTTCTTCTGGAAGAAACGTGGTGCCTCCACTGCGCAGCCTCCCAGGATGTGGACTCACCGCTGTGAGAGGCTCCGGAGCGGAGACTTCAACAAGGACTTCAGCACCTGCAGCGACCCTCAGCCTTCACTGCTGGGAGGTGGACGGAGAGCATCAGCTTTAAAGTACGAACACCCTCCTCTGAAAAAACCGCCACCTGCCTACTCCACAGCTGCTGCCTTGTCTGCAGCAAACTGCACATGCACCTCCCTGTGGGATGGGCAGGGTCAGAGCCTGAGTTGAGTGGCTCTGCGATGGGGGAGGGGCCGAGCCAGGCAGCTGGGCCAGTGCAGGGATGGAGGGAGGGAGGGCGGGGCAGGAACAAGGGGGCAGCCCTGGTTATAAGTAATATCCTTATCTCCATTTTATAACTGGAACAACTAATCCACAAGGAAACAGAGAAGTGGCCCAGGAGAAAGGGGAGCAGCCCTACCCACCAGCGCCCTCGCACTCCGCCAGCCGGGCACCCTCAGGACTTCTCTGGTGCAGAACCAGGTGCTCATGGGAAGCTTAACCAGTGTCCCCAGGATTGTAAACACTCACTGTGCAGGGTGACATAGGAGGAAATCAGAGACTGGCACCCAACACCCAGAGACAGGCACCCAACACCCAGAGACAGGCACCCAACACCCAGAGACTGGCACCCACCACCCGGAGACAGGCACCCAACACCCGGAGACAGGCACCCAACACCCAGAGACTGGCACCCACGAGAGCCGAGCTGTTCTCCTGGCTCCCCCAGCATTGCCTTCATTTGCCTAATATCCATTAAGAGCTTTAGAGGTTCACTCAGTAGAAAAGGAAAGCAACCCAAACTAACTAAACAAACAAAATAGTCACTGTATCCCCAGAAAAGCATCCTTTTTAAACCTGTGCTCCCTTTCGATGCTGCTGTCCCTGTGGAGTTAGGTAAAATGTTCTCAGCGCCCTTCCATTGACCCCCTCGGGAAACATTTCTGGAGCCCACGGGGTGTCGGCCCCAAGCCAGGCCCTACAGAGAAAGACGGGGAGGCCCTCCCCACCCCTGAGGAGCTCTCCCTGTGGTCAGAGCAGAGCCGAAGACGGGACAATGCATCTGTCCTGTGTGCACCTAGATAAAAAGCAACCAGATGCAAACCATGTTTAATCTAAAACACACTCCTGCTGGGACACCCCACACTCCCACAGGAACACCCCATGCACTCCTGCTGGGACACTCCACACTCCCACGGGGACACCCCAGCGCTCCCACCAGGGCACCCCATGAGCTGCCACTGGATTAAAGTAAAAAACCATGGCAGTATGCACACTCCCCGCTTCTGAGTCTAGAACTGGAAGACATTCAGCTCTGCAGGCACCATCTATGATAATAAAAACATTATATGCTAATTAGACTGGACAGTCAAACAACCTTCTGGGCATCATTCTGGACGTCCTTCCAGACAAAGCTGCTGTGGCAGGGGCTGAGGCAGAGGCGGTTAGGGGCAATCAGGCAGGCAGGTAAGTGGTTAGGGGCAATCAGGCAGGCAGGTAAGTGGTTAGGGGCAATCAGGCAGGCAGGTAAGTGGTTAGGGGCAATCAGGCAGGCAGGTAAGTGGTTAGGGGCAATCAGGCAGGCAGGTAAGTGGTTAGGGGCAATCAGGCAGGCAGGTAAGTGGTTAGGGGCAATCAGGCAGGCAGGTAAGTGGTTAGGGGCAATCACGGGCTGAGGGACCCAAACCTTCCCCCAACCCTCGTGCACGAATTTTGTGCACTGGGCCTCTAGTAATTATATATGAAACCCAGTGTATGTATATATGTATGAAATCCACTGCAAACATATATATGCAATAAATTATATCAATGCTTATGTAATATAAGCAAACTCATATATATGAAATCTCATTATATATATATCATTATATATATATATTACATATATATCATTATATATATATATCACATAACAGCACTATAAGGCTAACACTATTTTTATAATGGCACACACCCATTTTACAGATGAGGGCACTTACCAGAGGGATTAAGCAGTTGGTCTTCGACCACAGAACTGCAAAGAAGCAGAGTCAGAATTCTAACTTGAGAGTCTCAACCACCTTGCTCTTCCTCCCACCTCAGAAAGAAGAATGAAATCATTTCATAGTTCTGCCTGCATTTCTTGGCATTGCCTCCAAACAAGAAAGCCTTTCAGATTTAGCTCTTTGATCTCATGCAGGAGAATCTACCCACTGCTGTTGCCTACCCAGGTCATTGTCATGTCGTTTGGCAGTTGATGAGTGTGACATCAAGGGGTCCTATTTCCCTCCGACTGTACAGAGCAAGAAGGTTATAAAGAGCCCATACCAGCGATTTTGGGCAGGTAAGCTTCCAGATCACCACGGCCTTGAGACCCCACACGAAGCACAGCAAACAGGACTTACTAGAAGCCAGGAGGTCCCAGGTTCAGCTCTCAGCAAAGAGCCCTCTCCCTGGGTTTCTTGCTTTACCCCTGCTCACTCTGAGCTCCGGTGCCAGGTGATGATGCACACACAAGCTCCGTTTGAAATGTGAACCAACAGGAAGTCCCCGACTTCTAGCTTAGGACAGATTTTACTCTCGCCCCAAGTTGAAATGGAAGCTGGTATCCCAGGGGAAGTCCCTGGCTTTTAATCTTCTTGTGGCTTGGCACAGACCTGCAGGCCTGCCATTCCAGTCGTCTAGAAAAAAAGAAAGAAAGAAAAGAATACATATTTTAAAAAAAATTCCTGCCAGACTTTGGACCGTAGTCACAATGACTTATTGAGAACAGTGGCAGCCCAGCCTTGACCTGCCGTGGCTACCATTGAAACGATTCCCTTGCTTCCACCATCCATATCCTGCCCTGTCCTCCTGGGGATTAGAGGAAGGATTAGGAAACAAAAGCCTGGCTTCTCCAACACATGTGTACAGGCCAAGGATCTCCAGGAAGACTTGCTTATCATCCGTAATGAGAATATCAACAGGGTGACCCTAAGTGGCTCCTGCACAGCACCCAACAGTCCTTAGAAAGAAGCAGGCTAACGTGAATGGCCACTCCTAAACCTGCTGGGTGGGATCTGGCTACCATAGGGCCTTTGGCATATTTTCACTTATATTAAATTTTTTAGGGGGCCCTGGCTAGCGTGGCTCAGCTGGTTTGGAGCGATGTCCTGTACTCCAAGGGTCATGGGTTTGATTCCAGGTCATGGCACATAACCAGGTTGTGCGTTCAATCCCCAGTTGGGAAGTGCACAAAAGGCAACTGATCTCTCTCTCTCTCTCTCTCTCTCTCTCTCTCTCTCCCCCCTTCTCTATCTAAAAAAAAAAATCAATTAAAAATAACTTTTTTAGGGTGAAAGAGGAAGTAGCTAATAAATTTTATCTTCTTTGATCACCTTTAGAAGTGAACGTACAAAATTTTAATCTTTTTTTATTACTAGCATAACTGGGTTGGAACGAACCCTACCAGGTATTCATTGAGTGGCCTTAGCTAATTTAAGTTTCCTCATCTTCAAAATGGGGTGGATAGTGTTGACCTCACAGGATCTTTTTAAAATTAAGTGAGGCCTGGTCGACATGACTCAGTGGTTGAGCATCAACCTATGAGCCAGGAGGTCATGGTTCAATTCCCAGTCAGAGCACATGCCTAGATTGTGGGCTCCATCCCCAGTAGGGGGCATGCAGGACACGGCTGATCAATGATTCTCTCTCATCATTGATGTTTCTATCTCTCTCTCCCTCTCCCTTCCTCTCTGAAATCAATAAAAATATATTTAAAAAATTAAAAAAAGCATATAGTATAGTGCTCAATCCACATTAAACAAAGATTATTTCTCTATTTTTCCCTTTTGTGCCCTATGCACAGTACAAATATTATTGGTTCCTTCATTTAGAAAAACAGCTGGATTTCAGACATGCAGATATGATTAGACTATCATCCACTTTTGCGCAGGACAGGTTGTTTTAGGAGAAATATTTTCTTGGAGTGTATTTCATTGTATGTTTGTTTAGGTCACCATTTGACTATTATGAAAATAGTCTTTAATATTTTTACATTTGGTCTTTAGCTATTACTAGTTATTGCTCTAAGTAGTTTATAAAAAGCCTGTGCTGATCTCCACTCACTTGGGAACTGGAATGCTGCCCACAGACCATCATCATAATCCAGAGACCTAACCAAACATGGGACAGAGAAAATCACTTTAACATTGTGTTTCTTTGGGAAAAAAATATCTATAAAACAGTAATACAAACAGATGGACTTCCCATCCATCCATCCATCCATCCATCCATCCATCCATCCATACATCCATCCGTGTGTCTGTTCACCCACATACTCATTCACTCAACCCACCTGTTCTAGGCTTTTTGGTCATATTTCCCTAATAGTATTACAAAGCTCTTTGAGGACATTAATTTCTGGCACTTCTGGTCTATGTAGGCCCCTGCACTGAGGTGATTAACATGCAAGGGGACAGCTGGCTGCTACTAGCGTCTCCTTTGGGAAAATGCTCTTCACTTCTACCTGCAAATCGTTCTGTGAAATGTTGTTTTTTAGCTGGGCACAATGCTATTTTCATCTCAATCAGGGTTTTGAGGATAAGGAAGTTGAGACATAAAGTAAACTAAATAATGCCCCCGTGCCTAGCCCAAGATTCCCACACCCTAATCCCTGGTACCAGCACTTAAATAATCAACCAGCACTGAGCAGCCACATGCCCAACAGAACAGTGGTCCCTCTCATTCCTGAGGGTACATGATCCATTTGTGATGGAAAAGGGCTGTGTTGGAGGATTTGTACTTTCAGTAAAATCACAGTTGGTTCACACTTTCTCTTCTAAGTTATGACAGGTCTTGTGGGAGCTGAAGACCAATTTCTCGTTCAGACATGAAGATATGGAAGGTGTGGGTGGTTATATAAAAATGCACTAATTAGCCTTCTGAGTAAACCACACCTACCTGAGAAGCTACCACTAGTCTTTGACTAACCATGATAGACATCTAAAGGGAAATAACCATGTATAGGAACAGAGCAGGTGATAAAACACTCCTAGTCTTGAAAGAATTTATATTTTAGTAGCGAAAACAAAGAGTTATATAATTTTATACAGTGAGAAGTGCTATGAAGAAAGATAAGGCAGGGTAA